AACCGTGCTCTATCCTGTGCCAATCTCATTGCCTCTGACACACCCATCCCGATTACCCCAGTCACTGAATCAATCCACCTCATAGAGGGTTTTCCTCTCCTGCGCTGTCCCTCTACTCTACCCAGCATGATGTCCCTCTCTAAAGACCTGTCTCTCCTTACAATTACCTTGCATATTAAAAGGAAATGCTCCAGTGAAGAAAAATGGCTGGAATGCTGGTGCCGGTCCTGAATATGTCCCATTTTGAGGCTCCAGAGACACTGGTGGCTTGGTTGGGACAGAAGGAAATAGGGAACGGCTCTGACTCATGGGTGGCTGACAGACAGGACCTGGTTTTGTGCTTTCTGGTGTTCTGAGTATGGCAGAGGGGGCTGACACATCCCCATTCTGAACTAGTGCCAAAGAAGTGTGGTCCCGAGAAAATGCCCCTAAGAGGGGAGGTTCCCCAGCAGGGAGCAATGGGGGCGTGCCCTCTGCAGGGGGCGAAGCAGGCGGGGTGGAGGAGCCCCCATTCTGCAGTTGGGCTGAATCTTCTGCTGCAGTAGTATATATAAAAGGGAAGGGTGGGTTGGCCAAATAGTTGGGAACAAAGGGCAGTTCTGACTCCTTCTTCAGCTGGGGAAGGCTGTCATCATCATCATCATCATCTTCCACTTAAAAAGAAGCAAACACAAGAGAGTTACCACTTAAAATAACAAAGGAAAAAGTGTCTTTTGTCCTTTCATACATAACACATATTTTGGTTCAAGTTTACTGCTTCCTTAGGTCTGAGGAAAAAGGAATATGTTAATGTATGATTATCATTTCTATTACTGTCTGAATTTTACAGATTTTTCAAAGAATACTTTCTAATGCCAAACTTTAAAATAAAAATTTAAAAAAACACTTTCAAAACAAAACAGAGTGACTATTTTGGCACAGTCATTAGTTTTCAGAAATACACTGGTTGTTTAACAGATATCAAGAATGTAGCCGAGGACCTCCCAAATCGTCAAATCGGTTCCCCAAACTCAGGCTCACCTCCCATGATCTTCCTGATTTCCCTCCTTGATGTCAGCTGGGCTGGCACTTCTCCTTTCGTGGTCAGAATCTCTTTGTCAGCTCCAGACTTCAACAGGTAAGAGACGACCTGGCCATGATTGCGTTTACATGCCCAGTGCAAGCAGGTCCTGCAAGAGGAGGGAGGGTGTGGACTTAAAAAGAGAAGTGATATGTGTCCTCACATTCTCAATGTTAGTAAATAAATGCATGTGCACCGCAAGAGCTTAGCTGGAACCGGAAAACGGGCTTGTAATCACAACTTTTCCTTTTATAACGCAGCTGATCAAAATATTTAGGATACTTAATTTTTAAATTCCATTTCTGGCCCCTGGGAAAAAGAAATGTGTCCTGTGAGCGCTAATTTCAAAGCCGGCTAGATAACTCCATGAGTATCTCATTAGAACGCCTCATCTCTTTAAAATGTATTTTTATATTGCCACAGTCCTTTTTTTAGCAACTCGGAAACTCACTTTATATGCACCAAATGCCACTAGACGATTAAATATTATCAGATTAATGATTATTTCCTATCTGCAAGTCTACCCTGACACTTGAATTATTCGTGCTTCAGCAGATAGTCCTGCGTGACTCAGTGGTTCCTATTCTTCTTTACTTTCCTTTCACTAAAAAAAGGGATTTTCAAATTTCCATTTTTAAAAAATTTGGCTTTTCTAGTTTTCACCAGACACACTGTCACCTGTTTAACTGTGAGGCACTGCACACATCCTGTAATTCCTAAGGCACTGTAAAAAACATACAGCCATGACCAAAATGATAAAAAACAGACTCTTTAACGTAGCAGATTCATTTACGTAAAAACGAATTATTTACTATTGTACACATAGGAAGGTATTATGCATATTCTAAAGAACTATTATTTGAACACTGCATAGAAATGTAATTAGCAAGCCAGCAAAAACTCCAGCTTAACAGAAATTAAAGGATTCAGCACTACTAAATTCATCCCTAGTTGCCAAAGCTGTGTGCATATTATAAGCTTAGGAAGACACATTTCCTCCTCTGTTTTGAAATGGCCTTGTTTATCAACTCTCTAACTGAACTAACTTAAATCTCTTTTAGAGCTTATGGCCAAATACAGATCTGAGGAAGACTAGAACACACAGTCATAATGAGGGTTAAGTCGCACCTCTGGAAAGCAGAGTCATCTAGACCATTTATTTAGTTTCAGGAAAAAGCTGATTTTTCCCTTGGAGATCTTAACATTTGTGATTTTCAGAAAGCTAGCTTGTCTGGGTGGTAGGTAGGAGCTCCACTGATGTTTCAGAGTTGACAGTCTCCATTATCATTCATTAGAATTAGATTATCCTTTCAGATTACTGTGCCATCCAAGACAACATAACTTTGGGAAAAAGAAAACGTCTTAACCTAGGCTTCTAAACTATAAACTCCATGAAGATAACAAATTATCCTTCTGGGTATGTACCAAGTGCTTAATTATTATTTGCTGAATGAGGGAACCAAGGAAAATGTGGACATTGCTTGGAGTAAAATACATCTTTGATTCTGGGCAAACTACAGCCAAGAGTATGTTGGTGGGTGGCTGTCTATGGCACTGGCTTGAAAAGCAAATAATTATAATGATAAGTGAGCACTCAAAAATGAATGGAGCATGATGAGAAAAATATGGTCCCTTTTGGAAATAAAAGTACTCACATACTGGTAGTAAATCACTTGTTCATGGCAAGCTTGAAAGTGAAGGAGGTAATTTACTGCCAGTGAGTCTAAGAGACTCTGAGACAAATCAACAAACTAAAGTGTCCCCATGTAAAGAGGGATTAAGTCAACACAGCACACCCCTCACAGCTCTGGGCCCTCAGTGATCATCATTTATACTCCTGAGCTGTTTGACTCCAGGCAAACATAAATCAGAACCACTGCAGGCAAGCAGTATTTTCAACTTCTCCATGAGCTATTATACTTTTATCTTAAAACCAAGGCATTTGCATGACACTTGGATTAAAATTAAAGTGGGGAACTCTTACGTCTGAGCTTCAATTCTTTCAGTTCTAAATTCACAGCCCAACTCTGATTAGTGCTAAAATTGTGGTAACTAAGCAACCAAGAAACAAAAGCAGTCACAGTCTGTTTTTCTATGTTAGTTTTTTGAGAGTACTTCATATCTTATTTCCCAGCACACTAGTTAATTTAAAAAGATCCCCCAAAACAGTAACAAGTTAACACACACATAACACTTTACATACTAGACATTGTTTTTAGCCCTTTATACACATTAATTGATGTAATCTTCAAACTAATCCAAGTAATAAGTACTACTATTATTACTATTCTCCCATTTTACAGATGCGAAAACTGACAAACAAGGAGGCAAAGCATATAGCACACTGGGTGGTGATGAAGTATAAGGTGAGAGATTAGGGAACATCCGAGTTTCAGTAAGAATAATGCACAAGTTTAAATTGAGGATCAAGGAAAGGCCTTACCAAGTGACAACTAAGCAAAGACCTGGAGGAGGTAGAAGAAACTACCTGTATCTGGGAGGGAAAAGCATTTCAGACAAGAGGAGGAAGACGCAAAGGCTTTAGATCAGGAATGTGGCTGGTATTCCAAGAAAAACAAGAGGTCAGTGGAGCAGAATGTGACCAAGGAGGAAGAATCCCAAGAGATGGGCCATATAGTGTAATAACGGAGGGTGTGGGAACAAGAGGGGGAAATTGCAGGCTTTCCCTCGGAGTGCGATGGGTGCCACTGGAAGGCTGAGCAGAGTGAGATGGTCTGCTTTATGTCTGAAGCCAGGAGTCTTCTGCTGCTGTGTTGGGAAAAAGCATAAGAGTAGAAGCTTGGAGACTATTCCAGAGGTTACTGCAAACATTCAGGGGAGAGAACAAAGGAGCCCTAGAAAAGATGTAGAGAGCTGCTAAGAAGTGGTCAGAATCTAGGTCTGAGACACAGTCAGCAAGATAAGGTGACTGATTCAATGGGAGGATAAAGACAGGAGGCAAGGCAGGTCCCAAAGTCTTCGGACTTAATTCCTGAAAGAAAGAAGGTGCCATTAGATTGAAATGGGGAAAACTCAAAAGGTACAAGTTTAGAATCAGATGTAATATAGAGAGAGACTGGAAATGGACTTGGGGCATGTGAGATGTCTAGTAGACATCTTCTTCAATCAGTTCTACTAGAAGACTCCAGACTGTTTCAGATTTGGTTTACACTTACTGAGGCCCTACTGTGTGGAAGGCATTGTGGGAGGGCAGGCTCTCGAGTCAGGCGGCAGGCTTGTACTTCAGCTCTTCGAAGTACTCTGACCTTGGAGTAACAATAGCCATGCCCCTGGTGGCATAATATGTCAGGTCTGGGCTTGTTAAGCAAAAGAACAGCGGTTTGAGTTCACCAGTGGCTCCACCGAAATAAAAAAGATGGGCAGTCTCCTAGGACTGTAGGTATTTACGGCCTCAGAAGCCTCACTACGAGCTGGGAATAGTTTCCACATTAGCGTGTCCCTGAGTAGCTGGAGCTAACGCTCTAAACAGAAAATTCACAACAAGCTCAAGTTATGGCAACTTAATACTAATACTACACTTCATCTTGTTAAATTCTTACTGTTGTTGTGTACCGTCGAGTCAGAACCGACCCATAGCTGACACTCCGGCAGGTTTTCAGAGGCAGTTAATCGCACGGAAGGAGACTGCGCATCCTTCTTTCGCTAAATGCCTACTACTCTCTTTTAAATAAACAAAGCAAAAATGCATAAAACTCTGGCAAGGTGAGAACGCTAGACAGGAATGAAGAGCCTACAGCCAAGACCAGGGCTCCTTCTTCTACACAACACTGCCTCCTAGTGCCGGAACTGTACTTCACAGTTGGCGGAACACAGAAAAGGTCAAGGTACTTCCAGAACATCAAGCTTTTAATCAATAAAAGCCAATGTCCTAAAAAAAAAAAAAGAAAGAAAAAAGAAAAAAAGTCAATGTCCTGTTTCCTATTTTCTGAACAGTAGTAGACTGTTCTCTTTAGGAAGATGAGGTAGGTGGATTTGTAAGGAAGTGGAGGAACCACGGTACTGGTCTGGGCTAGCATATGAATTAGTGGGAGCTCTGGTGGCCTAGTGGCAAGAAGCTGCACTGCAATCCTGAAGGATCACGGTTCGAGTCCACCAACCGCCCAGTGGGAGAATGGAGCATCTCCTCTCACAAGATTAATTCCCTGGGTCATATAAAATTTAAGTTCTAAAGTGTTGAGAGGTGAGTACATTCAATAAGATTAAGTTTTACTTAATCTTTGATCACCAGAATGTCTTTCAGGCACCCTATTTCCTTGGGAAGGGCTCATTTGCAAGGAGGCAACTGAAGCCTTGGATCAAATTTGACATTTGTTAAGTGTTTAAGAGAAGTAAAAACCAAAACAAAATTGTATTAAGAATACAGAGCCTAAATTCTATAGAATACATGAGTCTTCCCTTAACAGGCAGCTGTGGCATTGTTGTTAGGTGTCTTCAAGTACGACTCAGAGCGACCCTAAGAACAAATGATGTGAACCCTGCCCTAGCCTGTGCCATCATCACAATCTCTGACACACTCCAGCCCTTGGGGCGCTCACTGTCTCAATCCCTGGTTGAGGGACCTCCTGCAAAGTGACAACCAAGAAGCAGAATAGTGATGGAAGTGATTTCTTCTCTTTGGGAAGGGAAATCGTGCAGGTTTATAAGGTGGACGTTTGCTTAGCTCCTTATACTTTGCACGGATGTTTTTCCCAGAAGCATTCGTGGCAGATTAACTGCACTCCAGAACTAGGATGAGCCACGTATGTAAGACAGTTACTGAGAACTATATTCTCTAGCACTGTTCTCGCCACGTTAGCCGGGGCGCGGAGGGCCCCAGGGGCGTCAGGGCCCAGGTGGGCGCTGGCCCGGCTTGACCACGTGGGCAGAAGGCGCTCTCGATTCCAGCGCGCCGAAGGGACCAGCGCCGGCCTCCAGCACGCACGGATCGCCAAGGCCCTAAGTGCCAGGCCTCGTCTCGGCCCCGCGGCGCTGGCCGACCGCTCCCCGCCCCGAACCGGCTGCTCTGACCCTAGGCCTCCCCCGCTCCCCACTTACCAGCCGTTGACCTCATTTTGGGAGTTCACATCCACCCCGCTCTCCACCAGTTTCTGCACCTCCCGAATGTCCCCCAAGGCCGCGGCCTCTCGCAGCCTCTCCTGCTGCTCCTTCTGCTCTAGAAGGGCGCTCATCTTGCCTAAGGCCCTAGGGCCCTGCCCGGGCCCGCCCGCCACGCCCGGGGCCTGTCAGCGCCGCCCCCGCCACGGCCGGCACCCAGCCATGGGGAGGGAGCCCCGAGTTCCCCCGCCCAGCTCGCGCCGCCGCCCGCGCCCGGCTCGGGGCTTCCACTCCCCACCGTGGGCCACCCACAGCTCCCCCTGCTGCCGCCGGCCCGCAGGCCCAGGCCTCCTTCCGGGCTGCGCTCCCGAAGGCCGGCTCCGGGGGACTCTATTCAGTGTGACAACTCTGACCCAGATAGTTTCCGTTCCTACCCTCGCCCGGCCCCGGCGCCCGGCCTGGCTGTTTATGTAATTGCTGCACAATATTATTTGCCGTGATTCATTCACTATTTTTAGACCTCCCCACCCCGCAGCTTCAAGGGAAGAGGACAGACACATGGAAAGAGGAGAAAGGAAAAAAAAAAAAGCACATTTGAAAGCCAGAAAGGCCTTATCCTCTGTCGCAGGCTGTTTACCAGGCATCAAAAATAATTGGTGGGTTGTGTTTTTTCCAGTTTATTTGGCTCTTTTTTCCTTATCTGAGCCAGCTCTTGCTCAGCAGGATGGGGAAATGGGATGAAAACGATCCTACTATAATATGCCCATTATTATGGAGATAGATGTCACTGGTCTTTCTTCTTTTGACAGTGCCTGGGCCATTCAGTTGGAATATTTCTTTCAATTGTTGGTGCTGAAACGTCTCATTTTAGACGAATTTCTAGCTTGGATTTCTGGAAAGAAAATATTTATATTGTCCATAGAGTTCATAAACTGTAATTTATTATTGCTTATAAATAATAATGAATGACTCTTCATGAAGGCCATGTAAGGGAAAAGAGAAAAACAGACAAGGAAAGCCGCCAACGATGCCCTGAAGATCTGGTCTTGATCCCAGGAGCTCCGGGAAGACCTATGGCAGGGAACATAAACAGCACTTTGCCTGACTGACTTTTTGCCTAATCAATCAAATGAGTTGCAGGGCCTGAATTGGCACTGCTTTTCCTACTCATGAGAAAAAAAAGAAAAGTATTATTTTACTGTGCCTGAGTGCCTTGGACAGATCCTCTAACGTGGCACAAGATGTTATTTTGCAGATGGGGTCGAGAGGATTAAGGAAATAACCTGGGGAGGAGGGGCGGAAGGCCTGAACACAAAGAGATGAAATGGGAAAGGATAAATTTAGGCACTGAATTTTCATTTCCGTCTCTTGGAGCTGTCCAGGGTACACACAGCAAACAGTTTCCTTGCTACAGTTACATACAGACATAGCACATACACTCCAGTCTGTTTATTATGGTACAGTAATTCACAGAGTACACAGTGCATGCCAGGTGGTACTGAATACAAAATAGTTTAAAATGTCTATACCCTTAAATCGCCCCCAGGACAAATTGGAACTCTGCTTGAACTTACATTTTTATTAGTTTCCCAATTTAAATTTTAATTCTCAGATCCAGCTTGATATTCTCATTTAGAGATGATGAGTATGATGACCCTGGAATTAACATAAATGGAATGATTGGGAGTAGATAGCAAATTTATGAATGGCTGCATGCCAAAGTCTTTGAGCTCTCTTAATGAAAAGTTTATTATGCTGCCAAATTTCCTTTCCTTAAAAAGATTATATATGCCTTACAATAATTGTTGAATAGCGACTATTAATATATTCTTCAATTAAACCTCTACTTAATTCTGACTCCAATGTTCTGCCTGCTATCTTCCGGTTTAAATTAAAACCAAACCAAAAGCCCTCAAAAACCTCTTTACATAAACAAGTCTCTACTCATGGCCATAATTGAACACATTCTGATGGCTATTCTATTATTCATATTTATCTGTATTTGTCTTGTCTATATGGAATCTAAGCATTGCACTGTTTTGCTAAGCACCAGCCTAGGCACTGGGGGGTGTTCTACAAATAAATCAGGAACCTTGATCACATTATCTAGGAGGGATGACAAGGCAAACAATAGAATGTAAGTACTACAATAGTAGCACTATGGCATATGGTTGTGAATGTAGCAAGTGTGAGTATAGAAATTGAAGCCACCCTACTTGGGTTTATATTCCAGCTTTGCCAGTCCTGTGATAGAGGAAGAGTTCCTTAATTTCTGCATCTGCAAGATAAGAATTATTTTAATAGTTGTTATTGTTAAGTGTCATCAAGTATGACTCACAGTAACCCTATGAACAAAAGACCTAGTTTTAAAAAATAGTGCCTAGTTCATAGGATTATTGTATAAATGAAAAGAAAACATAAGTGAAGCCTGGCTAGTAGATACTCAAAAGGATGGTAGCAATGTCTGTGCAAGCTTAAATCCTGAAGAGAACCAGATAGAATAACAGAGGGATAATAATCAGGTACTGTTTCAGATGTTTTTAGATAATGTCAGCAAGATTTTGCTTGATATTGTTTGGATTTTGTTTAGTTGTTTTGGGTTGGTTTTTTTCCATGTGATATTGTTTGATAATTTCTACATTGTATTGCTCACCTTTTTGGGGGAATGAGAATGAATAAGAATCTCTTTGAGTCAGTTGGCCAGGTCTTCCAGATTTCTTGGCACAGCCTGGTGAGCACATCCAGGGCTGGATCTGTTTGTTGAAATACATCTGTTGGTATTCCATCAATTCCTGGGCTTTATATTTTGCGAGTTCTTGCAGAGTAGCTTGAACTTCCTCCTCCATCACTATTGCTTCTTGATCATAAGTTGTTTCATGAAATTCTTCTGTGTCAGCCAATTCTCTTTGATATTGTGAGTCTGTGTACTCCTTCCATCTTCTTTTGATGCTTCTTGGATCATTCACTCTTCTGCCTATAACATCTCTAAGTATTGCAACTTGAAACTTGAATTTGTTTTTCAAGCAAGTTAATTCCTTTTGATTTTCTGACTCTAGCTCTTTGCACATTTCATTATAATATTTTACTTTGTCTTCCCAAACTGCCCTTTGACATCTTCTATTCAGCTCCTTAACGTCTTGATTTCTTCCCTTTGCTTTGGCTTTTTTGGCATTCCAGTGCAATATTCAGAGTCTCTTCTGACATCCATCTTGGTTTTTTCTTCCTTCTCTGTCTTTGTAGCGACCTTTTACAATCTTCATGGATGATATTCTTTAAAAAAATTTATTGTTGCACATTTTCTTCCCTCTCTCCTCCCACCTTGGGTGATATTCTTGATATCATCCCACAGTTCATCTGGTCTTCGTTCATTTGTATTCAAGACCTCAAACCTGTTCTGGAGATAGTTTTTAAATTTAGGTGGGATAGACTCAAGGTCAAGTTTTGGTTTTGTCCATTTGTTTTCATTTTCTTTAGCTTCAGTTTGAACTTGCTCATCAGTAGTTGATGGTCTGTTCCACAGTCAGCACTTGACCTAGTTTCACAGCTGATATTGAGCTTCTCCAGCTATTCTTTCCACAGATGTAATAAGTCTGATTCCTATGTGGTCTATCAGGTGAGGTCCATCTGTATAGTCACCACTTTTTTTAATATATAAAATGTATTTGCAATGAATAACTTTTGGAAGCAGGAATGGCATCCACTTCTGTAATAGCTTGCCTCCGGAAACCCTATGAATCTGGAGAGCGGATGAGAGACACACAAGTGTTGAGGACTCTCCTTCATAGGGTCACTATGAGTCGCCTGCGACTCGATGGCACTTAACAACAACAATGAATAACTTATTGTACAAAATTCTATCATTGTAAGTCCAGCTTCATTTCTGTCACCAAGTCCATATTTTCCAACTACTGATCCTTCTTCCTTGTTCTCAACTTTTGCATACCAGTGACCAGTTGTTATTAATAGATCTTGGTTGCATGTCCAATCGATTTCTGACTGCAGAAGTTGGTAGGAATGTTCTATTTCCTCCTCTTTGCCTCTAGTTGTTAATTCATTGGTCCATATATTTGAATGATAATGGTATTAACAAGTCTTCCTTGTATGCATATGAATATTTATCTGGCATTCACAACATTGTATTTCAGGATGGATCTAGAAATGGTCTTTTTGACGATGACGGTGGCCCCATTTTTCCTCACTTTTTCATTTCTGCTGTAGTAAATCATAAGAAGTCTGATTCAAAATAGCCCATGCCAGTCCATCTCAGCTCACCAATGTCTGGTTGTGTCAATATTTATGCTTTCATTTTTTCCATTAACAATGTCCAGTTTTCATGCTTTCTTCAGTAGCACGTATACTAAAATTGGAACAATACAGTGAAGATTAGCATGGCCCCTGAACAAGGATAACATGCAAATTCATGAAGTGACCCATATTTAAAAAAACAATGTCCACATTTCCTATATTCATACTGCTTACATGCCACATTCTAATTATTAGTGGTTGTTTGCAACTGTTCCTCTTCATTTTGTGTTTCCCAGTATGAGGACTCAGCCTTCAGTTCTGTATCTACTAGTCTAAGTGTGCTCTATTGTTCATAGGGTTTTCAAAGGCTTGAATCAGGTCTACCCTGGTCTTTAAACTAACATCTTTGCTCCTTAGCATCTTGGAGAGGCTTTTGACAGCAGTTTCCCACTGTAACACATCTTTTGATTGCTTGACTGCTGGTACCAAGGGTTTTGATTGTGGATCCAAGATAGATAAAATCATTGACAACTTCAGTCCTTTCTCCATCCATCATCGTGTTACCTACTGGCCAAGTGGTGAGGATTTTGTCTTCTTGATGTTGAAACGTAATCCATATTGAAAACTGTGGTCTTTGATCATCTGGAGCAAGCACCATTTCCAGTCTCCGTTGTGTCATCTGAATAATGCAGGTTCTTGATGAGTCTTCCTCTCATTCTGATGCCACACTCTTCTTCTTAAAGTCCAGCTTCTCTAATTATTTGTTCAGCATACAGATTGAATAGAGAAAGGATACATTGCAGCACATTTTTCTTCATTTTAAACCATGAAATGCTCCTTGATCTGATTGGACAACAGCTTCTTGGTCTAGGTATAGTTTTACATATTT